AGAGGGAGGAGGAAGGAAGAGGAGAAGAAAAGGAGGAAGGAAGGAGGAGGGAGAAGGGGAGGAGGAGGCTGAGGGCTTCCATCCCCCTGGCCCTCCTCCTCCTTGCTCTCTCCCTCTATATATTCCTCTGCCAGCCAGCCAGCCTCCTCATCCTCACCCCTGGAGGGACCAAAGCAGCACCAGCAGCAGCCTCCGCCTAGGCTCCGTCCGGGAAAAGCTCGAAAGGGGCAGGTGAGTCCCTCCTTCTCCGCCCGCAGAAGCCCCACTGCAAGTCCCAGCATCCCCAGGCAGGGAGAGAGGGAGGGGGGCACTGAGCTGCAGCCCTACCTTCTTTACATTGTAGAAAGAAGGCAGTGTGTGAGGTCATGAGGAATTCACTGCTAGCAATCACATTGGCATGCACCTGTATTTTGTTCTATGTTACAGCTATTTAGAGTGGTTCTTTCACAGTGCCCTTAGACTTCTCTGATGCCTCACCAAACTACAAATCCCAGGGGTCTGTAGGATGGACTTAAAAGCAGTGTCAGAACTGCATTAATCCTATAGTATAGGTGCAGCCTCAGTTTTGGATTTAAATTCCCAAATCTCAGCCAGAGATGTTTCCTCTTTGGATTGCAGTTCCCATAATCCACCAATCTGTAAATTTCCCCCAACCCAGAAGCTTGGTTTCCCTTGACAGAACCCAGGATGACCCAAATGAGAAAGTAACTTTTGGTCTCCAATGCCCTAAACCTCTTTGCAAGCCCAGTATGACCACTGTCAAGCTGGGAAGCCTTCTCAGGCTTTCAGGCGATGGAAATTATCACCCAAGAGTAATTTTCCTGGCTGGGGGATGCTGGGAGTTGTAGTCCAAAAATGTAACTTCTCTCAAGCTCTGACTTTGTTTCTGGGGAAAGTGTGAAGGGGTCCTCTGGTTGGAGAGAGGACATCCTCTCTATTGCAAATCCAATGCTATTTGGATCTATTTACCCATTGGCCTGAATCTAGAGTAAACCCATTGAAACAATATGGTCTCCCTCTGTGTAGCCTGGTGTAGTGGTTTGAGCCTTGGCCGATGACAGGAGGCTAGGGTTTGATTCCCAGATGGGCCATGGAAACCCACTGGGTGACCTTGAACAAGTCACAGACTCTCAACCTCAAAGGTTGGCCATGGCAAACCCGCCTCTGAAGAAACTTGCCAAGAAAACCCTATAACAGGTTTGCCTTAGGGTTGCCATAAATCAAAAATGACTTGGAGGCAAACCACAACAACAAAAACAACAGCAACTGCATTGACTCCCATTGAAGTCTTTGGAGTTTCTTTGGAATTGTTTGCTAGGAAAAAAAGGGTTGCCATTGCCTTCCTCCAAGGCTGAGACAGTGTGCATTGGCCAAGGTTATCCGTTGGATAGAAGCCCTCCTTTTGCAGAATCCTAATCCAATACATGAACCGCTAATACTAATCCAACACTCAAGCCACTACACCACATCTTGGCAAGATGTATTCAGAGAATGTTTGCCATGATCTTCTCTGAGGCTGAGAGAAGGTGTCTTGCCCGAAGTCACCCAGTAGGTTTCTGGGACTGAGCAGGAATTCGAACTCTGCTCTTCCAGAATCCTAGTGCAACCTTCAAACCTCTACACCACACTGGCCCAATTTTATTACACTACGTATTGCAATTCTGAGACCCAGCGTGGCATAGTAGTTTGAGTGTTAGACTATAAATCTGGAGACCAGGGTTCAATTCCCAGCTCTGCCATGAAATCCACTGGGTCACTTTGGGCAGGTCACACTCTCTCAGCCTCAGGGGAAGGCCATGGCAAACCTCCACTGAACAAATCTTGCTAAGAAAACCCCAGTATGGGTTCTCCTTAGGGTCGCCATAAGACGGAAGCAACTTGAAGGCAGGCGCCATCACCATCATTGCAATCCTACTCCTGATGCATACACCTGTGTTTACCTGGGAGGAAATCTCAGTGGGATCTACTATAGAGTAGACCCATGTATCCAGAAGATCACCCCATTGATTCTAGAAAGCTTAGCATCCACCCCAAAGAAAGCAAACCTGTTTGCCTGATCACTTTTGGAACAATGGTCTCTTGCAATCGTTCTCTTGTGCCTTGCTTGAAAGAAGTTTCAACCATCTTTGGACTGCGGGTCTTGTAGCACCTCCAGGGAGAGATTGATCATGATCATTATAATATTTATTTCTTACCTGCCTCTCCCTATGGATCAATAATGATAACAACCCCTAATGATTTATGAGAATGATAATGATTAATGGACTCAAGCCCCACAAAAGGTGCAAAAGTGGTTTGGTTTTAGGGTTCAAGGAGCATCTGTTTCCTGTCGGCTGTGCTAACGCTGTTGGGAGTTTTCAATGAAATGATAATACTAGTAATAAATCAACATGTCTTTCTCAATTTATTGGCCAACCATTGGAGGCCAGCTTTAAAGGGAGACAGGTGGGCTATAAATAAATTATTATTATTATTATTATTATTATTATTATTATTATTATTATTATTATTATTATTATTATTTCTTTAAGAGTTAAATCATGTTGCAATTTGTAGTGCTTAAAAGGCAGTTGAGTAAAGATCAGCATAAGTAAGTAGACTGCCTGGTTTTTAAAATGCTTTCCATTTTGACTTCTGTCACTGCTTTCTTACTCACCTTCCTATAGAAGAAAGGCTCAGAAAAGTTACTTTTTAGGCTCAGAAAGGTTACTTTTTTGCAGTACAGCTCCCCAGAAGGGTCAACCCTCCAACATACAGGAATATACGATGAAAGCATTCCTGACCTCCAAAGACAGAGAATCCATCACCTTCCAAGGCAGTCTAGTCCACTGTCAAAGATCTCTTAACAGTCAAGAAGTTCTTCCTAATCTCTTTTCTTATCATTTGAATCCTCTTGCAAAGTTATACTCCTAGAAAGTAGCTTTTGGGAGGGGTGCAAGTTAAGGCCTTTTTTGTGCTGTCATATTTTTACAAAGAAACTTTTTCCAAGTTCTGGCTGCCAGCCAGTTTCCATAAGACATACAACCAAGGTGGAGTTTACACACTGCTTTGGATTTATGGCTATAATACTGCTTTGCGCGTACCCAAAGAGAGCCCTTGGCATTTTTTAAAAATGCACACAAAGCGTCCCAGCGGTTGAGTTTTGCCTTGTTATGCTGTGGAAAGATGCTTATGGGGTTAGATGCAGAAACTCAAATGACAGGAGAAAGGCATCCTCTAATATAAACCCTACCAACTCCATTGGAAACAATTGGGCTGTTTTCCAGCACAAATTTAAGTCTTGGACATTTGCCTGGGAGACAAGCTGCCCGGGCTCAGTTTGAATTGACTGCAGATATATTTGCAATTTCTTGGTCATATTTAGCCAGTGTCTTTGGGAATAGAAGAGGGGGAGTAACCTGCCGCCATCAAAAGGCACCCGGTTTTTAAACAAATCCTTCCGTTTAGTTATGGGGTGCTGTCTGGATGCAAATCACAGACAAAAGCGAAGGATCCTTCAGTGAAACATGACCCGCTTTGCTTTTTCCTTAACCAAAGACTTAACTCATCTAGGAGAATGTTATTGAAAGAAGACATTGCTAACAGGCTGAAGGTGTGGTTTCCATTCTGAAATTGGCCACAACTAAACATTATGGTCAAATCAGTCTTCCTTTGATTCTGTCTTTTCTTTTTTTCCATTTTTCCATCAATGGAAATACAAGCTCGGTCATTATATTATTTATTATTCATGATTACTAATTAGAAACTTCTTCTGCATGGCTCTTGCAACATGCAAATTTTTTCCATTTCATTTCATTTCTCCTTTTTTCTTTTCACGGCAACCTCATGAAAGTAGGTTAGCTAGTGGTATTATATTATTTATTCATTTCATTTCATTTCATTTCATTTCATATCATTTATATGTCACCATTCTACCCAGAAAGGGACCCAAGGTGGCTCACAAATGAAACCATTGAATTTTTTTTCACAAATGAAATGTTTTAAAACAATTATAATCAGCTAACTAAACATAGTATAAAATTCCATTCGTGGTTTGAGTATTGAACAACAACTCTGGAGATCCGGGTTTGATTCCCTGTTCAGCTATGCAAACCCACTGGGTGACATTGGAGAGAGTCACATGCTCTCAGCCTCAGAAAGCCTCATGATAGATTTGTTTTAGGGTCACCATAAGTCAGAAATGACCTGAAGACACATAATAGCAAGAAGTTGTCCAGAAGTACTACAAAATATTACATAATTCCCTATGTTGGGTGCAAAACCAAGGGATCTGGGAAACAGAAATCCAAAATTTGACTTGAACAGGGAATAATAAAAAATAAAAATAAAAGGATTGTGGGTTGCTCTTAGTGGTGGAGCATACTAAGAAATGGAGACCTACTCTATGGAATCTAACTTGGGTGGATAAATTAATTCAACCTGGTGGTGGTGGTATGCCTTCAAGTCATTTTTGACTTATGACAACCCTAAAGTAAACCTATCATGAGGTTTTCTTGGCAAGTTTCCTCAAGGGGGTTTGCCATTGCCATCCTCTGAGGCTGAGAGAGTGTAACTTGCCCAGTGTCACCCAGTGGGTTTCTTGGCTGAGCAGGGAATCGAACCCAGATCTCCAGAGCTGTAGTCCAAAGCTCAACCGCAACACCATGCCGACTCTCACTATAAAACAGCACACAAGTCATAATCCACAATCCACAAATGTTGATTGTGAGCCCCAATTTTGGTAGTCCCAGCCAGAGTAGCCTCACTGAATCAATGGGATTTATGGAAGTTTTAACTCAGCATTCAATGGAACTACACTAGAATCATAGAATTGGAAGAGACCACAAGGATCATCCAGTCTTCCCCTGTTCTGCCATTCAGGAATACACAGCACTCCAGTTGGGACTAGCCTACAAAATCCTGACATGAATTCTTTGCAAACTATTAAATCCCAAAGTCAGAATCATTCATGTCATAGTCTTTCTGATTTCTGCGTATGATTGTGAAAGCTGGACAAAGAGAACCAATTCCTTGATGTGGTGCTGGACACTGTCAACTACCAAAATGACAAAGAAATGGGTTCAAAAAACAAAACAAGCCTAAACTTTCCCTAGAAACCAAAATGACTGAAGTGAGGCTTTCATACTTTCATTGTAACTTTAGATGGCACGTTGTTATTCTTGTTATTACATGTCTTCAAGTCAACTGTTGCATATAGAATTTTCTTGGCAAGATTAATTCAGAGAAAGCTTGGTGGTGCCTTCCTCAAAGGCTGAGAGAGTGGGACTTGTCCAAGGTCACCCAATGTCTTTCCATGGCTGACCGGAGATTCAAACCCTGCTGTCCCAGAGTCCTGTAGAAATAATGCAGTTTGACACCAATTTAACTGCCATGGCTCCATCCTTCAGAATTCTGGGATTTGTAGTTTGGGGTGGCACCAGCACACTTTGACAGAGAATGTGAAAGACCTTGTAAAACCACAAATCCCAGGAATCCATAGGATGGAGCTTCAACGATGTCTGTATTATTTCTGCAGTGTAGATGCACCCTGAGTCTGATCTCTAAAGCAGCTGTCCATGGTGCTGAATACTAAACCTAACATAACTTTAGCATTTTTGATGGTTCCTTTAAAGTTCGGACTAAAACCCAGGGGGCCTCCACAGAAGACATTGTGTCTGGAAAGTGCCTGGAGACATTCTAGACTGCCTAAGTATTCTGGTTTTGTCCTCCGCTGTGCTTCTCAGTCCTTTGTTTTCTATCATTGCTCCACTCTCTCCAATTTCTTGAAAGCAGATGTTTTGTCCAGGTTTTTCATCTGTTGCAAAAGGTGGAGGGAAAGGAAGAAATCTCAGGGTTATGAAAAGAGCAGAGCAGTTGCAACAGTTTGACATCCACAAATAAACTTAGGGATTAACTTTTGCTTAAAAGGAAACATTAAAAGTTCGTCATGTATCTTTATTGTAACACTGGAAGCTTCCAATTAAAAATGGAATGAGCCATGCACATGCAAGGGTTGTGTGTTCTGGAAAATCTGAATTTTTGACCACCTTCCACTTCTTAAGCAATGTTTGTTTGTTTGTTTTTGTGGTGAATGTCTCAGAAATTCCAAAACAAAATGGATTTTAACACTTCCAAAATTATGTAGGATTTTTTGGCTCTAGTGATGAATATTCCATTTGTTTTCTCTCTTTTTCACTTGCTCTCACACACAAATCCACACATTGGCTGGAAGCAGTTGGGTATATACTAACAAGGAGATCTTGGGGGAAATTTTATTTTTTGGACTACAATCTCAGCATCTCCTATGGATGTTAACAGAGGTCCTTTTCTGCTATGGCACCCCAGTTCTGGAATACCTTCCTCTTTGGAGGACTGATTGATGCCAACTTTGCTGGCATTTTGGCACCAAGCGACAACATGGATGTTTGCTAAAGTTTTCATTGCCTCACATGTCTGTGGTTTCAAATTGTTTTCAATGGTTTCAATCCATTAGAACCTGCCTTTTAAAAAATCGTCTTTAAATGGCTCAGTGTGTGTTTTCAGCCTTTTAAAATCATTTTTGTTGTTTACGTTATTTCAGGTTGGGTTTGGGAGAGCGTGTCTGTGTGACACTCAGCGCCAGCATTTTCGGCAGCCAAGGAATTTTTCTTTCTTTCCTTGTCTTCACGGCAAAGATGAGAAAAAAGTGGCAATTGGAGAACGTGAGATTTATTTTTGCCTGTGTGCTCTGCCTCCTCTTCATCGAGGGAAGTAAAACCGA